CGATAATGAGGTAGGTAGATACGTATATAGGAAACCCACATACACGTGTTTCCTTATTAATTTCTTCTCCTGACATTCATATAGAGTAAACATAGGAGTTATGATGTCTATGCTAATACGGAGTCTTGCAAATGTAAATCAAAGGGACCAGGATATCGTTAGATTGAAGCATATAATGTTTCAAAATAATTAGCCATTAGAATCAGTAGACAATTACTTATCAATTGTTGTTAACATGTTGATGGTAGTTTTTTTATCTGATACAAGTGGAACATTCTACTCGTTTACTGATTCTCCCTTCCTGTCAGCTTGCGAAAAGGTAGTGTGATCTACTGGGTTTTTGGAACATAAAAACAAGGTATAAAGAGAAATTAACACTTTCTTCAGTAATCCTTTCATTTAGAGAATTTTCAAGCCCATTTTCTTGATCAGGATGCTACTAGGTTCTGTTTTCATGAGGTAATATTAACGTGGCGGATGTCTGTCGACCCATCCAGAAGAGACTATGTGAACACAAAACCACTTGTATAGGTCTGTTGGTCCAAAAATCTGAGCTCGCTGAACACATAGCCAATACAGGACACTCAATAGACTGGTCCAAACGTTTTGCCGGTTACGGGGAATTCACATCAAAGAAGAAGATTGGGGATTCTGTAGAAATTAACAAACCAGCCAACGTCATGAATAGGAGGAACAAATGTGGAAAACTTGTGTCTATTGGAAGGGCTTAGGAGAAGGGGAGTGATGAAGTGCAGGGATAACCACTAAACAGGAGGCTGAGTCAGCCTCGAGTCTAGCTAGGACTATCAATTTCCGATGTCTACTTTCCATGTCAACTTCCGATTGGACGATGTGGTGCCAAGCTTTGCTTGGTCGACGCGAAATAAAGAGTGAAGATTAGTCATGTAGTCACGTAATCTGTGTCTAAGGCAGTTGAGCCATAGCTACATATGGGATGTAACAAAACTCAACATTGAATGGGAAAATTGTAGGAATATATTGAAAATAGTGTTTTAAAAAGAGTTAATGTGAATGCCGACCTTTATCGACGTGCTGCTTCCATCTATGTATTAGAAAGCTAAGCTCAGCAAGGATACTAAAATTGCGAGGTAATTTTCAAAGGTGAATCCTTATGAATGGAGCTTGTGAATTTTCTGCCTCCCTTTTTTAGTGGTTTACGCTTCGATTTACTCAAAAGACTAAAAATCCCGTGAGATAAGCTGAGTTTTGACTTAGATCGCTTTGATCTAGTTCAACTCAACACAATGAAATTAATTATCACCCTGTCATTTAATTAAGTTCTCGCGTATGTTTAAAACATTTTTCTATCCAAAGCAGAATAGAATTTCAGCCTCATCTAATCAGCACTTCAAATGTTAAAGTCAGGGCGTGCGAGGCGGGCCGCAACGATACATCATATCTGAATTACTATTAAGGCGCTAAGGCTAGACAATAATTGATATTTAAGTCGTCCGTATGTTAGTATCCTTAATTTATCATCGAATCCCGAGCGGCTATATCATTTTCGGAGGATAACAGTGTGTTGTAGCTAAACGGTGACCATTGCGATTTTAATAGATCAGTAGACAAATCAGAGCATTATACAATAACATCTTCGAGTTTAATAGCAAACACGAGGTCGTCATATTAACACTTCTCCGGTCTAAATATCCGAAATGGGAGAGTTCTGGCTTGCCTTGAAGATCGCAATGACACTGTGACGCATTGATAACGATGAAAGGCTGAGGGGCCATGGGTTTCCAATTAAGGCGAACATTCCATGCGCGGGTGTGACGAGAACAAGTCCAGCCTGGCTTTTGGAAGCAAAGCTAAGAGAAATTCAATATTGTTGGGGAGACTTTCATTTTGTATGAAAATGCATGAAGAAAAGATTAGTAGATTGTCTAATTTGTTTTCGCAACTTGGCCATATTGGTATAAAAACTTAGAGGTACGCATCTAGTCTAGGGTCTATTGTATGCATTATCATTTCCAAAGTCGGACCGTGGACGTGTTGCATTTCCACACGTTTCGCCAGCATCGTAGTCGGCATCGTCAGTGAGTCTCGCCATTCGTAGCACCATACTACAACTCGTCAAAGAGACGAGTGAAGCCGAACCTTTGACCAAACGTATGCTAAACAGTTGTGGTATCTCGCTTTCTGCCCTGTGCTATTCACATTTCCTATATCCTCCTATTACGCCTTCACTTTTAACATTTTTATCGTGTCTATTTCGGTGTATTGTCGTGTGCTCCTTTGAGCGGCATTCATGAAAACCATTAACACTGCACGCTGTCGTTCTCACACCATTCACCATTGTGTTGGGAATGTTGATTAGAATCTGCCATATTGTTACGCAGTCCTTCTCCAGTCTCCGCCACGTCTATCCTGTTTCTATCCCTAATACCAAGTCTATGACTTCCTATGTCTTAGTCTCTTGTGTGCCAACCCACAAATGTTGTGGTACTGCTTGCTTTGATTAGGTTCAATGTTGATCAACAATGTTTGTGGGTTGGCACACAAGAGACTAGGGCATAGCAAGTCATAGACTTGGTATTATAGATAAAAAGAGGCTAAAAACAGTGGAAACTAGAGCTAGTTGGTTAACAATAGTCGTGATTCAAGGATCATGTTTATGATCAAACACGTCTATTGTTAGCCAAATAGCTTTAGC